CGCGCCGTTGGCCGTTGTCGTTCGATATGGCTTGCAGCTTGTTTGGCCCGATTGCCGGTCTGTGCATTGCCTCCCGTCCTACCTGAGCGTTCAAGTCACCGATGACGATTTTGACACCCCATTGCGAACAGCCGTCGTATAACTGCTCCAGCTGCGCATAGAACGCTTCTTTCTCGTCGTTGGGTCTCTCTTCGAGTGGACAGTGCACGTTGATGATGCTGCCCTTAATCCTCAATTTGCACTTTCTCGCGTTAATCGGCTGCCAACCAATCACGCGTTGGTGCATCTTACACACCACTACAAAGCCGGTTCCCAGATCGTTGGTGGTGCCACAGCTCTGGTAGAAAGTAACCGCTCGATGCCCGCTTTTCCATACCTTTTTTCCCGCCCAGCAAAGTTCCTGCAGTGCTACGACTTCGAAGTTGCGTGGTTGTAGTTCGTCATAGATTAACATTTCGCAGCCCAGGAAGCCGAGCGATTTGCAGTTCCATGTTCCGAGTTTCCAATCGTAGTCCAGGGTGGCTTGTTAGACCTGCTCCAACCCCCTGTGTCACCGGGGGACTATCATGTACAGCTCTGTTTAGAGTCCCACTTAGGCACTAGGACGGTGATCAGACGCTCCTAACATGGAGAACAGACCGGCGTCTGTGTGAGCCGCACCTCCATGGTGAACAGACGCTCGGTTTTGGTGAAGCATTTCCTACATCACCGTACTACGGTTACCACGCCAGTGTTCACGTTGCACCTCTTCACGTTGCAACATTGCCCAGGCTACGCCACCCAGCTGTGTCCATGTTTCAGCTGGTAGTCTTTTGTTATCATATGACTCAAGGAGGCGTGAGCTAGGAACTTGTGAGGACCAGAGCTAGGTATTCCGCTCCTTCCAGGTTGTCAACTCACCATTTTGTAGCCCAATATTATTATTATTTAGCTTTATTTAGGAGGCTTTCAGCCTTAGGCTGGTTCGCCTCCAATTGTAGCCCAATAATGAATTAATAAATATTGTGTTAAAAAATATTTACTGAAATCTTCGACTGATTGGTTATCTTCTGCATACTTCCTGATTAAGCGGGAAGAATATCTGAGAGGACTAAATTGTAGTTTTGAACAGTCTTTAGAATAATACCTCATCAACATCAATTTTGAAAAAAAAAATGTTCAGAGAACTTAACTGGAATCTTCGTTTGTCTGGAGATCTTTTGAATACTTCCTGTTCAACCTGCTGTCTAGAGGGAATGTCTGAGATAATACCCTATAACGTCTAAAATGTTCCCTGAATATTCCCTTAAGTTCTAATGCCATTAAAAAAAATATGTGTTGGAATAGTGTTAGGTTTTGAACGCTTGTAACTTTGTCATTTATAGATGAAACTAAAAACCAAATACGCCAATCGATAGGAAATAACTCTACAAATCGCTGAAATAAATATATTTTTCCAATTTACCATAAAAAAAAACTATTGAAAATGTACAAATGATAATGTTATCACTGTTTTTTATAAAATAAACGATTTGCCCATACCCAGTCGTCATAATCGAGTACCACTTGGTTGCACATCGTTCTGCTTGAACCTAAAAAGTTATAAAACAGCGCTGCTTTCGTGCCCCTGCTCATTTCCGCTTCGCATGGCGTGGCAAGCAGCAAGCAGAAGCAAGAGGTGAATTTTCTCCCGCTCTCTCTGTCGTCATGCTGAACATTCTCGCAGGCTCTGCGATCGAATGATATCGGGCAGGTGTGGGATGAGCTTTGCCGAAGCTCATTTTTTCATCGGACAACGTAGTGGAGATCGGATTAATTTTAATTTAAAATTTAATTAGTTCTAGTTGCGAAGAAGTTGAATTGAGTGAAAATGACGTTCAGAACTGATGTCAAATTAGACAATTGAAAATGAATGTGTTTTCTTGACAGCCTTTTACATGGATGCTAAAGCTACTAATATCATAAAACAACTTTAAAAAATATTGCTCGATGTGCGAAGTGCGAAAAGCCTGTTTTGTCACACTGTCTATTTTTTTTTAAGAAGGCCAAAATCAAAGGTCATTAAAGTACCTAAAATAATTCTTTTTTATTTGTTTTTGTGAAGTTAACTGCTTAAAAAGGGCATGACAGAAATAATTGAAGATCTTTTTTCAATTAAAATATTTTATATGCATTTGGAACGAAAAATTTGCTTTCAACTTATTTTCGATACAGGGGATTATGGGGTTTGATCCATTATATTGAGAGCTTGCTATTTTTATAGATGTTTAATTGAATACAGGCAGCAGATAAAATGAATTAAAGTTAACTGAAATAAGTTGCAGTTGAAAGCCACTTGTCTGACATAGTTCTGCAACATGAGGATTTGTGATGTCAGGTAAACTTCGATATCTAAAGTTGTTTTGCCATGACTCACATTAGTATGTATCTGAAAGTTGGGAGAACATGTCTGGAACCTATTCATTAGACTGATGCAAAATTTGAAATTTTCGCTCCACAGTACTCAAACGGTTTCACATCAGGTCCTGGTTAGCCTCCCAAAATTTAAACTCATTTGGTAAGAAACTGACTTGGCACAAACTATTCGAAGTTTATATGGAAATTACCATGGGAAAAACAAAATTGTTTTTCATTGTCTTATATCCATTTTTCATATTGCTTTTTCGAAAATTTATGGATTATTCTTACGGGAAATTTTCTAAGCTACAACTTTGCGCAATATCGTTTTTCAGCCAAATGTCAAACTAATTTGTTATTAATTGTTTAAGAGATTGATAATCTTATGGCATGATCAAGCAGCTGTTCTGTGAGCAACACTCCATTCTTCGCACCAGAAACACCAATGTTGCCTGCTGAACAGTTGAATGAGCATAATCATAAGACATCAGTGACTTGAATCATTAATAACTTTTGTTCCTTACATTTGATTGAAAAGTAGTTTTCAACAAAGTTGCTACAATCACTGCTATCATTTTTAAAAGCATAGTGATGTGGTGAATTTTTAGATAGATATGAACAAAAACATAAGTTTTCCCATAGTAATTCCCATATAAACTTGAAATGGTTTGTGCCAAGTCAGTTTCTTACTAAAGTAGTTCAAATTTTGGGAGGCAAGGACCCAATTTGGGACCGTTCAATCTTAACTTTAGGATTTATTCAATAACCACCAAATTTAAAAAAAAATAATAATAATAAATTGTTCATTTTGGAGTAAAGTTTCTAACCATTAATTTTGTTAATATATTAGTGAATGGAGCAGCAAAATTAATCTCGTAGTTCTACGTCAACAATCCGGTCGTACTTTGGACACAACCCTTAACGTTTTTGTGTTGAGCATGAGATCTTCAAATCTGTTTGAAATCTCAGAAAAATAAAATCCTTATCTTGATTATTGTATGTCTGTGTCCTGGATCTTGAAAAAGATTTACTGTATGAATTAACTAGATAAATTTCAAGATTCTCAGAAGATAACTCATCATATGATATCTTTGAAATTTAATTAAGAATAGTCTACGGATCATCCTAAGATGTCTTCAAAGTTACTTTTAGGATTCCCCTCTTATAAATCTCTTCGATATTCCCTTGATACTTTCAACATAAAAATTTCGAAATTCTCTGCAGAACAAGCAAGGAATTCCCTGTACAATTAACTTCGTAGGCTCAATAATTATCGTGAGATTTTGTGGTAACGTTCAATAAAAAATGAGAATGATTTCAGTGCCGTCCAGCACTCTTGTGAGAGCATTGCGACTAAGTTGCGTCGTACGACTGACCAGGGCCCCTTCTCCAATATTCATTGACGTTTTTTTTGAAGAATAAAAATTATGTTTTTAATAAAAAATACTGAATTCGTTGAAAAAAAATGTTTTACTAGCTATATGACTGAAAACATTCTCATTTTTTATTGAACACCCGTTACTTTCCCAACACTGCTCTGTAGAATTACCTGGAATTGGTGGATTGATTGACATCTAGGGACTGTCAATAAATATCAGGGGATTATTGGGTATCTACGTCTTTAATTCTTCCAATTATTGACCACATCCCTTTTTAGGGGTCAAAAGTTATCCAAAAAATAAATGTATGAATTGCTCAACATTAACATTAACAGATATTTTGTAGGCAAAATAACCATTTTTTTTTGACGTAGGACTACGTCTTTGATTTCTATATGGGGGTACACTTTGTGAAAACCGAAAATGGAACATGTAACAAATTAAGAAAGATTTTGAACGTTAATAACTCAGCTGCCCCTGGTCCAATTTCAATAATTTTATCACTTTTCGATCAGAAATATGGCTACGCATCGATAACAATGCTTCCGAATGTTGATGTTCAGCAAGAAACTATTGAAAAACTGGTAAATTTCCAGCATTGTCCAAAAGCGTCGAATTAACTAACAAATCCACCAATTACCTACATGCATAAGCTGCTTCCCCAGCACAGTCGCCAGAGAGTATTTTTTTTTTTTCATTTGGTTTGTTTTTTCCGTCGATCTTGTTTTCCGTGCTGAGCACCAATGCTACCGACGTGCCACCAGGAAGGCAGCTCCCACACCTGGACCCTACCTATCGACCCATCAACTCATGAACCGGGGACCAACGGCTTTACTTCCCATCCGAAGGAAGGCGTGATCAGAGATGTTATGCCTCAGAACATCCCGGCGGCGCCGACTGGGATTGAACCCAGGCCTGCTGGGGTGAGAGGTAATCACGCTTACCACTACACCACCGGTGCCGTTATACGTAGCCAGAGAGTAGTAAGTAGACGAAACAAGTCGAAGTGGCATTCGCCTCCGATCCTCGGGCGCGTGCGGATAGGGAGGATGGTATTGCGTAATATTTTGCGCACTCATCTCCATACTCAAAACCACACGCTCCCAATGACCACACATAATGCTCTCCAGAGTGTTATCTTGTACCAAACATGGAAACAGGGGATACACTCAAAAAATATATCACAAATGTAATGCATGAAATCCTCGTGAATTTCACTAAGCTTTCAAAAAAAAAAAAAAGTTGACAACCTAAAGAAATCGTTAATGGACTTTGTCGTTCAGTTTTTTCCTGAAAAGTTTTGTAAATAAGCTAGAATGAAATAAAAAACTTTTTTTTTCCCTTACAGTTTTAACCGCTTTACTACCAATCCCCAGAGAGCCAAAACATTAAAATTTGAAAGAGAAAATTCACTCTCAATATCTCAACATTCCATGTACTTTGATGACACTCTGTAACATTTGGTGGGGGAGGAAGGATTAACATTTGAAGTCCCTCCCATTTAGCATATTCTGCATAAAAAATACATTAAAATTCAGCCTGTAAGAAAATACTATTTATCAAAAATTTCTAGGAAAAAAAACTAAACGTTAATGAATGATTTTTGACTTATTTTCACCATAATATGCATCCAAAGCGTTCCATCCACTTTTCCAAATTTCTAACTTACTATCAATGGAACAGCGCCATCAATGATAAAAAATAGCCATGACTTGGTGAAAACTATTTTTGTAGTTCTTTAAGAAATCTATTCCAACTCTTTTTTTATATGAACTTAGTGGCCCTGAAAAGGGCCGGTTTGGTAAGATTTTCGACGGGGAAATTAAGCGCGTTCACCACGGATACGACGAGCCAGCTGGATGTCCTTTGGCATGATTGTGACACGCTTGGCGTGGATGGCACACAGGTTGGTATCTTCGAACAGACCGACCAGATAAGCCTCGCTAGCTTCCTGTAGAGCCATAACAGCTGAGCTCTGGAAGCGCAGATCGGTCTTGAAGTCCTGGGCAATTTCACGGACCAGACGCTGGAAAGGCAACTTGCGGATCAGCAGTTCGGTCGATTTCTGATAACGACGGATCTCACGCAGGGCGACGGTGCCTGGCCGGAAGCGATGAGGCTTCTTTACTCCTCCGGTGGCTGGAGCGCTTTTGCGAGCGGCCTTCGTTGCCAACTGCTTGCGAGGAGCCTTTCCTCCAGTGGACTTGCGAGCGGTCTGCTTGGTGCGAGCCATTTTCCTTCCGATGTGTTCACGTTGAAAGCTAACTGTGGAATAAAAAATAAAAACGACTTCCATTCTGTTTTATAACATGCGTTTGCTGTGATCAACCAATCAGAAACGATGAAAGAACAAGAATACAACAACTAACAAGGAGAATTTAACCCTCGAGTAGGTATAAAAAAGCCGAAATTTGGAATTTTTGTTCACATCATCATTCGCTGCCAGACTGTTGAGCAGTTCAGTCGATTTGAATTCTCTCTAGTTTCGTTCGTTCGTTCGCAAGTCGAATTAGCTCCGCGTTGTGTAGTGACGCTCTCGCTGACCCAGCCATGGGTAAGAAATCGCGCGGTAACGCGAGTGCCGGTTTACCGGGAAAACAGACTCTCCCAGGAGACGGCGCGACCACCGAGCCAGCCCAGAAGAAGCAGAAGAAAACCCCATTGCCCATCCCGACAGGCGTTGCGGGCCCGCAGCCGGGGCCTCCCGGAACTAAACGACCCAGACCTGAAGACAGCAGCGCCACCGCATCAGCAGCAAAAAAGCTGCTGAGCAACAATCCGTTCTCGGCCCTGCAGAACGGAGCCCAGCCGCAGTCGGACCCTGAGACGGTGCCGAAAAAAGTTAAGTTGCCACCCTTCTATGTGAAGAGCTTCCCTCCCGGGCTATGGGAGCAGCTGGATTTCTACATTAAGCAGGGCCTTCGCTGCACCATTCAACGGTGCACGGAAGGCTACAAACTGATGGTCCCGGCCGAAAAACACTTCAACGCAGTTCAGGCCCTCTTGGACAGAATGAAGCTGGAGTACTTCTCCCACGACATCGAGGCCACCAAGCCGCTGAAAGTGGTGCTGCGCGGGCTCCACGACATGGACACCACCACCTTAATGGACGAGATTAAGGCGAACGGCCTCAAGCCGGTCGAAGTCCACAAGATGACCCGCAGCAAGGCCATCAAGTATCGTGACCAGCTCTACCTGGTCCATCTGGAGAAGAACTCCACAACAGTGAAGGATCTCCAGACGACACGCACACTGTTCCACATCGTAGTGAAGTGGGAGCGGTATAAGCCCACCCACCGTGGCGTCACTCAGTGCTCGAACTGCCTATTGTTCGGGCACGGCACCAGGAATTGCCGCATGGCCAGCCGCTGCATCAAATGCGGCAAAAACCACAAGATCGACAACTGCGACAGCATCGAGGAAGCCGCTCCCACATGCGCCAACTGCGGTGCCGCCCACAAGGCCACGAGTAAGGCCTGTCCGAAGCGGGCCGAATACGCCGAGATCCGGAAGAAGGCCTCGTCCAACAGCCAGCCCGGTCGCAAGAAGGTTCCAGAAAACAACGCGCAGAACTTTCCTCCGTTATCACCGGTCCAATCACGGCCAATTCCAGTGTTGCCGCCGCTCCCGCTCAACCAACAGTTGGCTGCCGCTGCAGTACCCGGTCAAGCCTCCGGGCCATCGACGGATCCCCCTGCTCCGGGATTGGCCGGTACAACCGGTGAAGCTACAGACGATTCTCCGCTGTCAACGGATGAGATCGTCACACTGTTGGCCCAGGCCATCATCATCAAGCGCACCTGCGCAACAAGAACACGACAGCTCCAAGCTATCATCTCCTTCGTCGCTAATTATGGACCGTGAACCCATAAAGATCGCCAACTGGAACGCTCGCTCCGTAGGGGCGAAAAACATTGAGCTTGCAGACTTCCTCCGCAAGCACGACATCGACGTGGGCCTTCTCACCGAGACCCACCTCAAGACCGGTGACAGCTTCTGGCTGCCCGACCACAGCATTGTCCGGCTTGATCGCACCAGCTCCAGGGGGGGCGGTGTCGCGGTCATCATCAAGAAAGGCATCAAGTACTGCACCCTACCCCACTACCGCACTTCCATCATCGAGGCCGTCGGCGTTGAGGTGGAAACATCGACCGGAAACGTCCGGTTCATCGTTGTCTACTGCCCCCGGCAATGTACCGTTAGCAATGGTACAGCACAGCAGTTCAAGAACGACCTTGCCATCATAACCCACACCAATGCCCGCTTTGTAATCGGAGGGGACCTGAACGCCCGGCACGAGGCCTGACGGAACTACCAGCAGAACCAGAACGGCCGCCTGCTATTCGACCATTCCCAGCATGGTCTCTATTCCGTCTGGTTTCCGGACGAACCAACCTTCACATCACCGACGGGCAACCCATCGACGCTGGACCTGTTCTTGGCAAACACCAGATTAGCCAAGCCGGTTGCCGTCAACGACCTGAGTTCGGACCACCAACCGGTGCTGACCGAGCTGGGCTACAACATGGCCCCTGCACCGTGCCAGCGGAAGGACTACCATCGAGTCAACTGGGTCCAGTTTCGACGCGTGGTCGACCGCCACATCGACGACAACCCACCGCTCGACACAGTGGATGACATCGACCGGGCCCTGGAGGGTCTCCATCAAGCCATATCCGTGGCTGACGAAGAGTGCGTTCGACGAGTTCCTGTGAGGGGTAAGTTTCAAGCAATTGATTCCCACACCAAACTCTTGATTCGGCTCAGAAATGTTCGTAGACGCCAGTTTCAGCGGACTGGGGATCTGCAGCGTAAATACGAAATGGTCGATCTGAATCGGCAGATCGCTTCCAGAATGGTCTCAATCCGGAACGAGAGTTTCGGGCGGCTCGTTCAGAACCTGGACGACCGTTCCAGACCATTCTGGAAGGTTGCCAAGGTGCTGAAGTCTCACCCCAAGCCCATTCCACCACTTAGAGTCAATGACGAACGGCTTATCACCAACGAAGAGAAGGCCAATGCGATTGGGGAGCACATTGCCCAGTCGCATTTGCTTGGCTCTAAAATCCCAAGTCCACTCGAGAACCAGGTTGCGCAGTGCGTCCTGACGTTAGATGCCTCCCCTTGTGCCGTCCTCCCCACGACGGACTTATATACAAGCTTTGTAACTCTAACTTTCCACCATACCTTGTGAAAATCACCCGTAACTATCTCCAGCAAAGGTCGTTCAGGGTGTCGTTGAATAGTTCCCTTTCGGGACAATTTCCGATCCCAGCAGGTGTTCCGCAAGGGAGTCTGCTGGGACCACTGCTTTACAGCATCTACACGTCGGACATCCCTCCTCTAGGAGACGGTTGCGTGTTCTTTCTGTTTGCAGATGACACCGCGATAGCCGTCAAGGGTAGGATGCCTCGTGAAATTACGAACAAGCTCCAACGATGCCTTGACACCTTTACTGATTATGCCACCACGTGGAAAATCAAAATCAACGCCTCGAAAACCCAAGCGATCATGTTCCTTCACAGACAATCATTAAAACTTAAACCGTCTCCCTCCTGTACCGTAATAATGGATGGTACAAGGGTCGAGTGGTCCACTGATGTTACTTATCTCGGGATGTTGTTCGATGAGAAGCTCCTGTTCCGCTCGCACATAGAGAAAACCCTAGTTAAGTGCTCCGCCTTGGTTAGGTGTTTGTATCCGCTCATTTGCCGCAGATCCCGCCTCTCAAGGCAAAACAAACTGGCTGTTTACAAACAGATCATAGCCCCCGCGATCTTCTATGCCGCCCCGGTGTGGGAATCGTGCGCTCAGACCCACAGGAACAAAATCCAGGTTGCACAGAATAGAGTGTTGAGGATGATCCTAGATCGTCCATTCGACACAAGAATAGCAGACCTCCATCAAGAGGCAGAAATTCCCAAAGTAGATTCCAAAATTGATGATATGACAACTAAATTTATTCAAAAATGCAATCTTTCTGAACATGCTTTAATAAGCAATTTGTACATAGTAGGTTAAGTGTATATAGTAGAGTAGGTTAGTTTTAAGCTGTAAATAGTAGTATTAAGTAGTTTCTCTTCAAATTCTAAAAACAAAACAAACCAATCCCACCAAGGTGGTCGACCGTGTACTAAGTCTAGGACTAATTCTGTAAAACAAATTTTGAATTTTGCCCATACCTAAAGATGAAGAAAGCAATTAAATCACTTAGTAAAAAAAAAAAAAAAAAAAAAAAAAAAAAAAAAAAAAAAAAAAAATTTATATGGTAATCGTCCAAGTTAAACTAAAAATAAAGATCATTTAAACTAAAAAAAAAAAAAACTAAAAATTTTTGTTCACTTTCGCCTCAACCTTCATCAACGATAAACAAACCATCTCCAACAATGACTGGACGCGGCAAGGGAGGAAAAGGACTCGGCAAAGGAGGAGCAAAGCGTCATCGAAAAGTGCTGCGTGACAACATTCAGGGTATTACTAAACCTGCTATCCGTCGTCTGGCTCGTCGTGGTGGAGTCAAGCGAATTTCTGGGCTTATTTACGAGGAAACTAGAGGCGTGTTGAAGGTGTTTTTGGAGAACGTTATCCGTGATGCTGTTACTTACACCGAACACGCTAAGAGGAAGACGGTCACCGCGATGGATGTCGTTTACGCTCTGAAGCGACAGGGACGCACTCTGTACGGTTTCGGAGGATAAATTAGCATCATCGACTCAGACTAAAAAACCGGCCCTTTTCAGGGCCATCAAATGAATTAAAAAGGTGATTTTGATTAACTTCCTTGTCGGATTTAAAAGGTGGTTGGGATGTGATCGAATGATGATTTTTTTCAGTTTAAGATTATTAGATTTACTGGTATGAGATCTACCCAGCTAAAATTCCTATTCCTACACAAAATACAAACTCCTGCTGCAGTTGACACGTTGTCCTACGTCATCATTGCGTACAACCCCATTGGGTTGTCCCTTGTAGTTTTTTCAAATATATTATAATTTTGAAAAATTTAAAAACTTTGGGTTTTTTTTTGCTTATTAAACAAAACGCCGATACTTTTAAACTAACGAAAACTATTGCTAAAATCAACCACGCCGATACTCCATTATTATAGTTTGCGGTTCCTATCGAACCGAGAAAACTATGTTAAGCAGCTAGGAACAACAAGGAAAACCGGGAATTTCAATGATAAATTCCAGTGACCACCCTGTACGCTGTACCGACCGAACCAAACAATAACACTCGAACGAATCTTCCTTTCGATGCAACTATAGGATAGCCCCCGTGTGGGTTAACGGACATGAGGCGTGAGCAGGGCTAGGGTGTTGAGTGAAAACTCTTCGAAAGGTCCACCGCCGTTGCCGCCGCCAGAGTAAATTTGATTATGCTGTTTTCACTTCAACTTCTTTCCGTTTGTCGAGTTTATGTAGTTTGCCGTTGTTATACAAGCATAGAAGGACGCATTCACTTCTTGAGGACGACATCAGTACCCATACCTACTGTAGAAAACTCGTTCGGTTTCAAAGAAACTCCACTTGCTGCGTGTTTTTATGAGTACATATTTGATTGTGTGTGTCAAACGGAAAGCATGATGGGGGTCACACTGGCCGGCCCCAAGGCATAACGGAACAGAGGACACTCGGGACTCAATTCTCGACGTTTGTTTGATGCCTTTCTCCCGAGCATTTATGTTTATGTGATGTTGTTTTGTTTTGCTTTTGTCGTTCGGTATTTGGCTCCAGTGTTTGCCTTTTATGTGTATTTTTCTTCAGAATTTCCGTTTCTTTGGTGCCTGATCGGAGCCGAAGCCGGAGTTGTGAGGGTGTCCTTTTGTTTCGAGTGGAAGGGCTTCGATGTGGACCGGTGAGATGTTTGTCCTGGGGGAGCACTTGTTGAAGTTCTAGAATTTCAACAATTGCTTCACAGTTGGTGACACAGTTCAGAATAGGCTCTGACAGTATCGCATCGGTTCATCCCATTGTTGCGGGAGGATTGTTTAATCATTTCATTTGAGCATTATGTCCTTTTGTCCTTTTGTGTGCATATGACAACTCCCCCCAACCATGTTACAAAATTTCACAATATTCTTCATAAATCAAAACCGACAATCCCACCTCCTAGCAGCAGCACCTGAAACTGAACGAAAAGTATCTCAATTCAAAGTTGCCTGCTTCCCAAAATAAAAAAAAAAGAAAGTTCAAACGTGCAAATTCATCACCGGGAAACTTTTAAATTACAATCGAAAAGCAACAGTTAATTCGCTTCCGGTGGCAAGTTTTCCGCGCCAATTGTGATCAGAAAACGAGAAGGAAAGAACGGGAAAACTTCCTTCGGAATCAGAGTGCAATCAATTTCACAGTCCGACCACAGCTGACAATGATAGATCGTCTGCCATACGCAATTTATCCATCAGGTGACGCCAGGAGACGAAAGCATTTCTCGATCACTTTCCGCTTGAACTCTGCAGGAATTATCTTCTGTTTTTTTTCTGTTCTGGTTTCCAAACGAAATCAAATTCGAGTTTCCAGACTACCCCTTCGAACATTGTCGTGCATGCACACATACGTGAAGCACCCGCCCCGGCACCACGTCTGCTCCTCCACATCGCCATAGCGAGACAAATTCGTTTCTGAACTTTCGTTTTCAGAGTTTGATTCGATTATTCTAAAGTTTTTACCTCTTCTTTAGCCAACTGACTGTCCAGAAAGATATACCTTTTCGCTCTGAATGTTTCCGCTCCAACTCCGGAACAAATCGAATTTGGCCAACTTTGTATCCAGTGCCTGGATGCTCAACATCTGCGATTGTGTTTGAATTTTCGTCGTTTTACGAGGTTTTTTTTTTTGTTTTGCCAAGATATCATGATATAAATCAAAACTACTTTTATTTTGGGCCCAACAAAAATAGATTTTAATCATACAGTTGATTCTCTGGGAGGGCAGCTTAGCCGGATAGGGTGGTCTCTTCATACTCGGTCCGGTCTAGAAAATCTATCGGGTTGGAAATTTTCTCGACTTCCTGGGCATAGAGTATCATTGACAGGGTGGCAACTCAACCGGGAAAACCGGGAGAACCAGGAATCGAAAACATTCGGGAAAAACCTGGAGTTTTATTGAACTTTACCATATTTTTTTTATAAATATTCAAAGTCCAATATTACTAATAAACGTAAATCCAGCCCTACAATCTTGAACAGTTTTATAATACTAGGGTCTTGACATTTATTCTCAACTGAAGTTTCTGAATATTGCCAATGTATGTTCAAGATCCAGGGAATTTCTGTACACGGAACCTAAAACTAAACTGAATTATTTCTTTTGAACTATCTCAGAATATTTTTCCAAATTTCTAAAGGATTTTATATGGATAGCTTCAAAATGTCATCAGAATTAGTTTTGCTTTCAGGATTCCCTCAATAATTCCAAAAAATTGTCCAATATCAGGTATACCCCCTAAGGCTTGTACTCGAAAAAAATGCACCATTTTTATCCGTGTGTAACTTTTTTATCCGTAGGTAGAAATTGATGAAAATCTGGATATAACTAGTTTGGAGTGAATTGTTTACATGTGCAAAATTTCATAAAAATCGGTTGAGTGGTTATTGAGATGTCATCGAAACAAGAAGAAAATCGCCGGAGAATTTTGCGCGCCGTCATGGAAAATCCGACTGCGACCATGAGATGGATCGGAAGACAACTGGGAATCACCCATACAACTGTGTCTCGGGTGGTTAAATCGTTTAAGGAGTCCCAGACGACCGAGCGGCGGGCTGGAAGTGGAAGAAAACCGAAGACAGCTGACCCTGTGAAGGCCCGGAAGGTGTTGGATTATTTCAAGCGTAATCCAAACCTTTCGATTCGCGACGCGGCTCTGAAGGCAAAGTGTTCCGCCTGGTTCGTTCAGCAAACCATGAAACGAGCTGGGCTTCGTGTATTCAAGGTCCGGAAGGCACTGAACCGGCGTGATCAACAAAACACGGCGGCCAAATCTCGCGCAAGGAATTATTATTATTTAGCTTTATTTAGGAGGCTTTCAGCCTTAGGCTGGTTCGCCTCCAATGCTCGCGCAAGAAAGCTGTATCGAGAGTGGTTAACGAAACCGATGTGTGTGGTTATGGATGACGAAACCTACATCAAGGCAGACGCAAAGCAGATACCGGGGCTGGAGTTCTACGTTGCCAAATCATGGTTTGATGTTCCGGAAGACATAAGGAAGAAGAAAGTGGACAAATTCGCCAAAAAATACTTACAATAACGTTGTTTTTGTACCAAAAATCACCAGAGATTTGTCCGGTGGAAAGATTTTGGGCCATAATGAAGGCCAAAGTTCGAAAATCGTCCAAGGTGTTTAAGAACGAGCTGGAGTTGAAGAAAGAATGGATGAAAGTGACCAAAAAGGTCGGCTCCACCATTGCACAAAATGTAATGAGGGGTTTTAAGGGAAAGGTGCGGGCTATCAGCGATGGAAAGGAAATTGAATAAAGTAATTATGCCGAAATATAATCCATATGTATTAGTTTCAAGAAAATCCGACTTAAAATAAATTTTTGGCGAACTCTTTTATCTGGTGTAAAAGTCTTGGAATTATGTGCAAAACACTTTAGGAATTCCCTCCAAAAAAATTGATTTTTTTTTTGTTTTAATTATTATTATTATAGTCACATTAACACTCTTAGGTCAGAAACTCGTGAAATTGGCTCGTGACATTGGCATGAGAGGTATGGATGTTAACCAATATGCCGGTGCCGTCCCGAAATGTTGACATTCACTCTACATTTATCTTTGTATTCATAAAACTTCTCGCGAGAATGTGCTTTAATTTATTTTCATTATATTCTTTACAATTCACTTGGAATATAATGAAACAACTTATGGCCCCGGAACCACTTCGTCCCAGAAGGGAACCAGCCTAAGCCCCGAGCTGATGGTCTTAAGCCAACGGCAGCTACTGGGGCAGGCACTCAAGGCCTCTTTTGGTTCCGGGTCCCAGGGCGTTTTTGCGTGGGGGAGCTTTGGGATTGTGAGAAGTCCTAACCAACTATAAAGGTAGAATTTACCTTACATTTATTTGTTATACGAACCAATATGATTAGCTTGGCATTGTCTAGATGGTGACGGCCAGTTAGTGACAGTAGAATGTTTGCGGCCAGAGAGCGGCAGCCCAATACCGTATGGTCGCAGCCGAAGGGAAGCACTCCTATGGTGGTAGCCCAATTCGTGGTGGCCGGATGGCGGTGGCCGGATGGCGGTGGCCGGATGGCGGTGGCCGGATGGCGGTGGCCGGATGGCGGTGGCCGGATGGCGGTGGCCGGATGGCGGTGGCCGGATGGCGGTGGCCGGATGGCGGTGGCCGGATGTCGGTGGCCGGATGGCGGTGGTTCGGATGGCGGTGGCCGGATGGCGGTGGCCGGATGGCGGTGGCCGGATGGCGGTGGCCGGATGGCGGTGGCCGGATGGCGGTGGCCGGATGGCGGTGGCCGGATGGCGGTGGCCGGATGGCGGTGGCCGGATGGCGGTGGCCGGATGGCGGTGGCCGGATGGCGGTGGCCGGATGGCGGTGGCCGGATGGCGGTGGCCGGATGGCGGTGGCCGGATGGCGGTGGCCGGATGGCGGTGGCTGGATGGCGGTGGCCGGATGGCGGTGGCCGGATGGCGGTGGCCGGATGGCGGTGGCCAGATGGCGGTGGCCGGATGGCGGTGGCCGGATGGCGGTGGCCGGATGGCGGTGGCTGGATGGCGGTGGCTGGATGGCGGTGGCCGGATGGCGGTGGCCGGATGGCGGTGGCCGGATGGCGGTGGCCGGATGGCGGTGGCCGGATGGCGGTGGCCGGATGGCGGTGGCCGGATGGCGGTGGCCGGATGGCGGTG